ACGACTTTAAATGAATCTGGAAATTTTTAGTTGCATTTGCAATACAGGGTGTCCCGAAATTCATGCAACAAAATTTGGTCACAGATTCTTAAGTCAAATTTAGGGGACCCGTATTTTTTATTTTTGCCAAGTGGCCCCCTCTTTCGGAGTTACAGCCCCCTGAAGTCCGCCTCTAAGAATAATATTTTTCTTATATCTCAGAACCCTGTTGTACGAGAATCACTAAATCTGGTACGCAGGGGTTTTATGACATGTGGAATCTGATGGTGCTATGTTTTTTGGCGGGAAACCCCCGTAAGACAATTTTTCGTGGGCCCCCTTGTCTGGAGCCAAAAAAATTTGTTCGCATATTTAAATTTCTTAAAAATTATCAGTCCACTAGAAAACTATTAAATTTAGAAACTTTTTGTCTCTTTATACTTTTTTCGTAAAACGCAATGTTTTCGAGAAAAATGTCAAAATGTGATCGAATGCATATGTGATTTGTCATTTTCCTTAAAAACATTGCGTTTTACGAAACAAATATCAAGAGACAAAAAAGTTTCTAAATTCAATGGCTTTCTAGTTAACTAACAATTTTTAAAAAATCAAATTTACGACCAAATTTTTCTGGTTCCAAAGACAAGGGGGCTCACGAAAAAGTGTCTTAAGGGGGTTTCTCGCCAAAAAGCGTAGCACTGTGAGATTCCACATTTCATAAAATCCCTGTGTACCAAATTTAGTGATTCTCGTACAACATGGTTTTGAGATATAAAAAAGACTTCTTAGGGGCAGATTTCAGGGGGCTGTAACTCCAAAAGAGGGGGCCAGTTGGCAAAAAGAAAAAATACGGGTCCCCTAAATTTGTCTTAAGAATCTATGACCAAATTTTGTTGCATGAATTTCGGGACACCCTGTATTACTGAAAAACTGACATTTGTGAGAAGGATTTTCATTTAGATTTTATAAAAAATAGGAATATTAGTTCGGCTTGTGGACTTCTGTGGCTATAGTTCATAGGAAAAATTATTTAGAGAATTGAATTTCTCATGGAAATAGCTTATTTACAAAAATTAAAAGGAACATTTTTTTGCAAAAAAATCGTTAATAAACAGTGAGAAAAAGCAAAAGATTCGATTTTCTGATTTTTTTTACTTTTTTGCCTCTAGTTTTTTTTTTTTGAGTAAAGATAGGTATTGCTTCATAGAAAAAAATGTAGATAAAATTTCCTTCAAAACAAGAGGTTGTAAAGTATTTTTGGATGAAAATTGACTGATATATGGCTGCTCAAACTTAGCCAATTTTCGTCACATTTACCCTTATATGTTTTAATTCTCATTTTTTGCAAAAAAGGAAGGAAAAAAGACGTTCAAGGATTTTCATCACATAACTTGTTAATTTTTTTGCATATTTTCCTTTTAAATTTTTGAAATAAGCTATTTCCATGGGAAATTCAATTCTAAATAATTTTTCCTATGCACTATAGCGAAATTTTGCTTCGTTTTCGAGCTACAACTAAAAAACTGAAAGTAGTGCATTTTCAATTCAAATTTCCGCCCTCTAATTTAATAGCACTTGGCGGTTTTTTTCGTCATAGTTCCTTTTAACCCTGTTTTCTTTTGGATATAATCAATAGCCTATTACACCCACAATTAAACACGGCATACAGAAAAGTTTTTTTAATGAACACTTCCACATAACCACGTATATTCCGAATACCATTCATTCCGAAACTTTCGAACGTACACGGTGTCTTTTGACTTCCCCTTTTATCCATATCGATTGTTTCGGAAAATTCACGGTTAGTAAAGGTATGTTGGTTCATGGTTGTAAAAAAATCGAATGAAAGCAAAGTTGGGCACAAAGATCACAACTAAGAAAATAAAGAAATAAAAGAATTTAAACGATAGCACGCGAAAGTGACAATCATTAGTATCATTACAATGAAACTGTCACTATGAAAGATGCCTACTATGTAATAATGTTTTAAAAAATGTTACTGTTCTGAGCCATCTTCTTCTTCTACTTCTAGTGGTTGGTCCTAATAAGTCCCATAGCACTGCGGCCTGATTAGGCCTATTGTGCATCCCACTACTAGTCCTATTCAGCAAGTAGATTTGTCCTTTTTACAAAGTCCAAAAGCTTGCTTGCTGACGCTACTCTCAGTTCCTTGGGTTCCAAGTAGGGTCCCCCAAGGAGTGCCATTCTGCTACGTGCAAATCCCGGGCACTCGCCCAGGATATGCAGAGAAGTTTCATCCGCCGATTCACATCCTCGGCAGACCGGACTGTCTACAAGCTTTAGCTTATGTAGATGTTTCCTAAAGTGACAGTGTCCCGTTATGAGTCCTGTCACTCTCCTGAGGCGGATTCTGTTCAAGCTCAGTAAATCATTCGCTCTTTCCTTCGAAGGATACTCCATGAGTTCCTTAGAATGTCTATGTCCTGGCCTTGAAGTCCAGTATTTCCTATGTTCTGTCTCAGTCCATTTGCCCAGAGCCCGCCTGACCACACTGGGAGATGTCCGGGGCCAATGAACTCAGTTTCGGATCCCTTCCTAGCAAGTTCATCTGCTCTCTCATTTCCATAAATGCCTTTATGCCCTGGCACCCAACACAATCTGACTGTATTGTTGGTGGCCAGTTCAGTCAACATTTGTAAACAATCCCACACCAGTTTTGAACTTATCTTATGTGGGCCCAAAGCTTTAATTGCAGTTTGACTATCAGAGAATATACAGGGTGATTCAAAAAACCGCTGACAGACTTCGAGGGTAAGTAATACATGAAAAAATAAGACGAAAAGTCTTAATAAACATAGGGTCGCAAATGCCTCCTTAACGAGATACAGGGCGTCAAAGTTTCTGTAAAATTAAAGCGTAAAAAAAATATTTTTAAAAAAGGGTCGCGTTGATCCCGTCTCTACGACACTGCTGCTCATAAAATTTTGAGCAGTACATCAAACATTGGTCTTAAGGTGCTAACTATGCATAGCAAATTTGAAATAGAAATGTTCAGGCATTTTGGAATTATTGCAGACAATGTTTAATTTTACAGAAACTTTGACGCCCTGTATCTCGTTAAGGAGGCATTTGCGACCCTATGTTTATTAAAACTTTTCGTCTTATTTTTTTATGTATTATCTACCCTAGAAGTCTGTCAGCGGTTTTTTTAATCACCCTGTATATATGAGTTTACGTTTGTATCCTCTACGTACATTCTCTGCCAGACACGCCATTATAGTGAAAATTTCTGCTTGGAATACAGTAGGGAACTCCCCCAGACTGTAGCTTGCACTCCATCTGGGTCTGAGTCCATATATTCCTGCACCCGTCCCTCTGGTCATTTTGGAGCCCTCTGTAAACCATACTAGGCTCCACCTTTCCAGGGTATTAAACTTTTCCTCCCATTTGCTTTGATCCTCTATTCAAGTCTCAAAAGGCTTGTGGAAGTGAAACCTTGGAACCATCTTGTCAGATACCATCCCAAAAGTTGGTTCCGTCTATAATCCTGGAATAGGAACTACCCCTCCAGTCGTTCTGAGCCATACATTATTTAAAAAATAATTTCTGACTAAACTAAGCAGACTTCGAAAAAAAAGCAGACATTTTTTCTTCAAAAAAGTCTAATTCATTAAAAAATTATATTATTTGCTTGATAATTCAAAGGAATAAAAAAAAATTTGAAAAATTTCTGTTAAGAGTAGTCAGAAAACTATCCTTATTTATAACCGATTTTGATGAAATTTATGATAGTTAAAGACCCTTATGGTATGATTATTACCTACAATTTTCATTCCTTTACCTTAATCAGAAAGAAAGTTATTTTAAAAAATATCCAAAGGATAAGAGGACCATATCTCATATTGCTCCGGAGGACCAATGTTTATAGGAACTTTATTTTACTATTTTTAGCTCTACTTTCACCCCCTTAAATTTTGTACCAACTTTTCCAAACACCCTATATTCAACAAGCATGTAAAGTTCAGGAAATGTAATGACAAACATAAGAAAAGAAGTGAAAATATGCTTTTTCCTTATTCTAAATGTATTGTCAACTTGTAAACTGTTGTATACCCTGTAGAAAACTTGTATAATTGGTACAGTGAGGTATTGCTTCTAATTTGCTTAGATTTTTTAATACTAATAATTTAATAATAAGGCAAACCCAAAAGTGGGTAATGCTCGCTTTAGAAAAGTAAAACCTTTGTTAGGAAAGTGTGATAAATTTCAAAAAACATTTTATTAGCTCTCGCATTTTGTTACTCTATTTTAAAGGTATAACAACTAAACTTAAACAAATTCAAAAAAATATATTTTTTTTAAATCCCATCAAATAAAATCAAACAATGTTCTTTGATAACAAAAATCTAGGTATGCAAAAGATATCTAATCCGAAAGACAAGTATCCTGACTGCTGATATTGCGGGAAACAACTACTCTAGGGACTATATGTCCCAACTAGCATTGTACATGACCTTCATAAATGTTTACAAGCCACGTGACCGCCGAGCTTAAGCAACCAACAATACATGGTTGGTACTGCCAACTGAAAATTCCTAAATATTAACGTCACCAATATTAATGATTCGTTCACAATAACCAATGACAAACCGTTACGTCTACGCTTGATATAATGGGATAGAATGTCGTGAAAAATTACACCAATCACCAGCCGATGAAACAGAATGTTGCATTTGTAATCTTGATCTTATTGTTTTAATTTTACCGAAATTTATTTTATTTGTGAGGAAATAAAATTACTGTTCCAAACAAAATTACTGGTCATGTATAGTACTTATTTTTAGGTGTGTTACCATCTTAAACTACATGCATGCAGTTCTGGTAACGCCATCTGTTGGAAAACAGTGAGAACTTATTCAAATTCCCATTTATAAATTATATTATTTTCATTTTTGGAAGGTGAAATGGATGAAATAATGATCACAAAGCATAATAGTTTGTGCTTTGCGATAGTGATCCTGTAATTATTTTCGTGAAGTATTCAATAATTTATATTTTAGCCCAACATTGTATATTGGAGAACATGTACATGGTTTATATGCCACACGTTCCTTAGTGGACCAAAATGTTGTTACAATAACAGCTTCAGATTCTGGCCCTTTGTTACTAGGAGGTCCTTATGCTCCAGGAAATCCAAAAATTTATCAAGAACATCTATCTGGACATAATTATTGGTTACCAAAAGGTAAATGCTGCTGTTATTATTTTCAAGAATAATTTTATTAATCATTTACCTTAACAGATTTCTTTAAAGAAGAATACCCTAACTTTGAAAGTTTCCCAATGTTTGGAGAACATATATTAGTATTTACTGGCCATTATAATGTTCCACAATTTAGCAGTCAAAAAATTATTGGAACTGGGAAGGATTTAAAATTAATCACTGATGAAAGTTCAGAGAAAAATGTAAATAGTATCAAAGAAGATGTTGCATCGGAGGATCCCGAAAAAAACATTAAAAATATAAATTCTTCCCATAAGAGTTTGAGGCATAGTATCCGTGATTTATATAATGATTTAAAGTTATGGATCAACCATCAAGAAAACAAGGGATTAAAACTTACTTTAATTATTCTAACAGGATGTGTGATAACTATGTTTTGGTATTTACAAATTCAAGTAAGTATTTTTTCTTTGCAGTCAATTCAACTTTTAAAGTCTTGGGAATATTTCAATAATTCTGAATTAATTATATTTTAAATACCTACAATTTGATTCAATTTCATATACAGGGTGTAACTTTGAATGGAGGTCATATTTGGTCATATTTATATCTTTAACATTTAGAAACACTTATCAATAGTGTATTTTTTTAAATGCCGTCATGAAAACTTCCAATTTATTTAGAAAATTTCTTTGCATTATAATCAAAATATTTAATTATGTGAAAGACAAGGGTTAGCAGCATATTATTTTGTTATAATATATTTTTTCTATGGAATGTGCCAACTACAATTTTTTCTTTGATTTTTCAAATCAACAAGTTATAACTAGGATAAAAGATTTTGTATAACTTTGAATCTGTGTTTCGATATGGTATAATTTTTTATGGCACTAGTTCAGATGCCGAAAGGATTTTTATTATTCAAAAGCGCGTGTTACGAATAATCCTAAAAATGAAGAGTAGAGAATCGTGCAGGGGAAAATTCAAGGAAAATAAAATTTTAACTTTCACAGCTGTTTACATACAAGAAATATTATTATTCTTTTAAAAAAACAGGCATTTGTTCACAAAAATGTCTTCACAACATAACCATCAAACCAGAACTGAGGATTATTCCTATCCGATACACAGATTGACAGTTACAGAAAAAGGTGCCTTTTATAATTGTATTAAAATGTATAATAACTTGCCTGCTGATGTAAGAATAATTTCAGATATAATAATTTTCAAAAAGAAAATTTTCAATTTATTAATAGATCTGGAACCATATACTGTAAATGAGTATTTTAATAGTAATAGCTTGTAAGGATGAATTGATCTCTGAAATCTATTACATAGGTATTTCTTTTTTCTATATGGATAGTTGTAAAGTTGTTAGTGCTGTAATAGCAAAGCTCTGTTGACATTATTTTCATTAATGTTACTGGATCTATGTAACTGTTCTTGAAAATAAAGATTATTATTATTATTATTATTATTATTATT